CCTCTCCGCCCCCCCTAGCTCCCAGGGGGTTTGTTGTGGGGGGGGGGGAAGGGAAAGGAGTTTGTCAGCCGCCCTGAGACTCCTTTAGGTAGTGAAGGGCGGGGTATAAATCCAATCTCCTCCTCCTCCTGAAAACTCTACAGGGTCTCCATAAATGAGCTGTGACTTGACAGCAAAAAAACCCAAGAACTTCTGGTCTAGGTATCAGAACGAAGTACACGTTACAACGAAGTACACGTATTCAGGAACAGTTATACTATTATTGCAAATCCATAGATGCAGTAACATAGTCACTGTTAGGAATGTCGGTAAACCTTAGAACCAAATAGGATATAGGTCATTTGTATGCACACACACACCCCCCATGGCATGGGCCAATAAGGCACCCTCCCGCGCGCAGGCAAAGTAAGGCAACCGTTAAGTGGCGAAAGCTGGGAACCAGGAATCTCTCGTGATGGATGAGGCCTCTAGACTATGCAACAGTCCTCCTGCAAACATCTGTATAGATAAGCGTTACAGCCAAGGGATAGCAAAAGGGAAAGGATTGCAACAGCAAATTAACAAGACACAGAGTAACTTCCCAACCCCCATGGCAGCATAGCTGACACTAGGTTTCAGCCCAAGTAAATAAGAAGGAAAAATGGGAGAAGAAAAGGAAGGAGGAAGGTTGGGGTCCCAAACTGTGGGGTGACAAAACTGTCATCTACACACCTCTTAACCCAGTCAGGTGCACCATCTTAAACACATTTAAAAAACTAAATCAAGGTGGGCGGCCATGTTCTTCTGAAGCAGTAGGACAAATATAGAGTCCGGTGGCACCTTCAAGAGCAGCAAAGTTTTATTCAAGGTGTGAGCTTTTGTGTGCACGCGCGCTTCGTCGGATGAAGTGTGCCTGCACACGGAAGCGCATGCCTTGGATAAGCTTTGTTGGTCTTGGAGGTGCCCCTGGGCTCCAACGCTGTTCCATTAAAAAACTATTTTATACTCAGCTGTATTGCAGACTTTAAACTATTGACTAACCGACAGAAGCTCCTGGGGTTAGTCCACCAAGAAGGGTTTTCATCAAGGTTTATGGTGATCATGGTGGCATAATCGTTACGGTCAGGGGTCATTTCCTGCGGGAGCGCACGGGAGCGGAGCTCCGGCAGTAAAGAGCCCAGGGGGCGGGCACAAGCAACAAGCCCCACCCCCTGCTCCCAGCAGCCCTCAGTCAGAGCAAGAAGCAGCCAGGTAAGCTGCAGAGCCCCTCCCCGGCCCAAAACAGTCCAGTGGCACCTTTAAGACCAGGTTTTATTCAGGCACAAGCTCTCCCTCCTCTGCGAGGACAGATCTACACATTCCCCCCACCCCCCATAGCTAGCAATCCAAAAGAGTCCAGTGGATCCTGAGCGGTGGGTGTGGCCTTCTGACACACTTCCGGTGATGTCAGGGGGTGTGGCATATGCAAATGAGTCATGCTAATGTGTTATGCTAATGAGCTCCTGCACCTCTTTTTCTACGAAATGACCCCTGGTTACGGTGAAATACCCTTTCTCAAATTTAAATATGGCAGTGGCTTTAAGAGAGGGGAGTACCCAAACTCAGAGAGATGTTTCAGTAACTTTCTCTCTCTCTCTCTCTTCCTCTCTCTCTCTCTTCCTCTCCAGCTCTCAGGTTTCACCTCTGATCCTAGAGAGGTCTGCAGCTGTTTATATGACCTGGAAACAGTGGTCTGCAAGTCCTTCAGTATCCTTTTGTTCAGGAAACGGTGTGGTGTGTATATGTGCCTGTGATTGGTGAAGGTAAAAGGCGTGGTGGAGGCTGGGCCGTTGGATAATTCAGGAGAGCCACAGCCAGAGTGAAACCTCAGACGTGATTGTCATTCAAACAGAAGAGGTGTGAGAAACCTCTTTCCTTTTCCGTTTGTACCCTTAGGGCAGTGATGGCGAACCTATGGCACGGGTGCCAGAGGTGGCACTCAGAGCCCTCTCAGTGGGCATGCGTGCCATCGCCCCAGCCAGGCCCAGACCATCATTAAAGTGTCGAATTCTCTGCCAAATAATTTTAAGTAAATGAAAGCATTTGGGATTGATTTCCTTACTTTGTTGGGATCATCTTAAGTTAATGTATGGGCTGTTTTTTCTAAAGTAAAACCTCAGGATTCAGGTTAAAGGTTCGCCATCACTGCCTTGGAAGCTCATTGATTGATGAAGAGCAGCAGCAAACACTTATTTCTTATTTTTTCAACACAAGGGCTAAAAAGACTGAGACAAATTTTGCAGTCACCAGAGTGATCTCGGGATCCTTATCACTGAGCAAAAGAGCTAGGGTTTCTGGAGTATAGGGGGGACGATTGGTTGACTAAAGGCTTAATATAGTAATCCCTCATCGTCTCAAAAAATCTGCATTCCAGCAGGGCATGAAAGAGCCAGTTTGGTGTAATGATTAAGTGCACGGACTCTAATCTGGGAGAACCGGGCTTGATTCCCCACTTCTCCACATGCAGCCGCTGGGTGACCTTGGGTCAGTCACAAGTTCTGTCGGAGCTGTTCTCTCAAGTGCAGTCCTCGAAAGAGCTCTCTCTCAGCCCCACCGACCTCACAGGGTGTCTGTTGTGGGGAGGGGAAGGGAAAGGAGCTTGTAAGCCGCCCAGACTCTGAGTGAAGGGCGGGGTATAAATCCAATCTCCTCTTCTTCTATATAGATCCTGCTAAGGCCACAAGGGCCAATTCTGTCAGCGTAGGGCCTATTCAAAAATCTCCGCTGCAAAACCGTTGTAGGTATAATGTTCAGTCTTCCAAACAAAAAAGGTTCTGCATTAACGCGGGGTGGTAAGTCAGTACATATTGGGTGTGTGTGTGTGTGTGTAAAGACTTGGGGCAAGACAGACTAAAAACAGGGGTGAGGATACTCGGCGGTCTCTCAGAATCAAACTACTGTGATTGGTTTGCAGGACTCGCTTCTTGATCAGAGCAAATGCTTTGGTTTTGCCCAGCTCAAGAATATCATCCATCGACATTCCAACTTTAGGAACTGGTGTACCATGTGGGAGAGATGGTTGTTGAATTGGCAGCAGCCACTGGCCCTTGGACCAAATCTGTTCCTTTGACCGCTGCTGTGTTCCTCCTGCCCCACCTTATCAACCCGGCACGCCGGCAGAAGTGAAATTAATGATGCTCTTTGCATTGGGCCGTTGTAGGGAGGAGTCTTTAGCCCCCCCCCCCCTCCATGGCAGATCTAGATGCTAACTGGACCTCTTCAGGATCATCTAATTTGTCCTGGCTTTATAAACATCTGGATGGTGAACATGATGGGTTAGAGCAGGGGTGTCAAACAATGCGGCCCGGATCAGGCCCCCGGAGGGCTTCTATCAGGCCCGCAGTGGAACTGGCTGTCTTCTGCTGCTGCTTCCAGTTCTGCTGCTGCTGCGTCATCGTAGGTTTTGCAGCTCACAGATACACACCTGAACAGCATACTCAAGATTGCAACAGCACAGACATTTCGAGGCAATAATCCAGAGCAAGAGGTGTCAGTTATCAGACACTGTTAAATATTGACGTGATATCTAGATTGACGTGATATCTAGAGCACCCATATTTGATTGGATTGTACTATATTGTTTTATCCTGTTTTTCTCTGTTTTAATGTTGGCATTCTTGCCATCTTGTTAGCCGCCCTGAGCCTTCGGGGAGGGCGGGGTATAAATCTAAAAAAAATAAGATAAAATAAGCAAAATATTGCAAGAGTGCTGATGTTTTAAGCATGTTTTTATTTTAAGTTAAAAAAAAACACTTTGTGTTTGTGCTACCGGGCATTACATTTCATGACACACATGGCCCGGCCCAACAAGGTCTCATTTACGTCAGATCCGGCCCTCGTAACAAATGAGTTCAGCACCCCTGGGTTAAAGACTTAAAATTTGCAGGTTTAATCACATTTTAATTGTGAAATTCACCCTCCTGTTTGGCTCATGTTCTAGAGGGGTGGGGTTTTAACATCATCATGGCTTATATGAGAAAAGAACATATGATATGAATCTGCCTTAACATTTCTGCCTTAGATTTGGAAGGCCTTTTCAACCTCATGTAAGTTCTTGTCTTTGATTGTGGCTCGGTCAGACTCGAACCAGTGGGTCTCTTGTGGTTTGGGCTGACTGCGGTATTTAGTAGCCAATTCCCTGCTTTTAAAGAGCTTCAGAAGTGGCCTTTTTAAATAACAAAACCAATCCCAAACATAACAGAATCCAGAAATAAAACCGGTGGGACAGCATGACAGAGTTGGATGAAATCTAAGACAACAGCAGAAAATTCACACCATCTGGGAAATGGAATCGTCTTAACCAAGCATGGAAATTGATTTAGAACTGCACCCCCCTTGCCCACCCACCAATCCCTGGGGTGGCTGGCCAGGGGCTCTCTGGTAGCCTCCGGGTTTTTGCACCTGTCTCCAGGGAAGACCTTGAAATTCTTGACATTCATTGCCGCCTTAGCACTAGGAGCCTTTTGGAGCTCATCACAGCAAACCTCAAATGACTTAGCCCCTGGTTGGTGTTTCTCCATTAACACAACTGGTACAGCAGATTGGCTAATAGGCAGAGCTGGGAATTTGGAAGTTCCTGATTCAAGTCTTGCCTTAACAGCGAATTCACTACTTTGGCTCTGGAGCAAACGCCTCTCTTTCTCTCTCAGCCCTTCATCTGTGATAAGAGGCCTCTTTTTGTAGAAGGAACTCCTTTGCATATTAGGCGACACACCCCTAATGTAGCCAATCCTTTGAGAGCTTACAGGGGCTACTGTAAGCTCTTGGAGGATTGGCTGCATTAGGGGTGTGTCGCCTAATATGCAAAGGAGTTCCTGCTACAAAAAGAGCCCTGGTTACCTTCCAGGGTTATACAGATCCCTGTGGGATCTTATGCAGTTCCGCAGGGCCTGCAAGACGGAGCTCTTCCGCCAGGCGTTTGAGTAGGAGCCACCGCCGCCACTATTCTACCACCGAGGTGGCAAGTCATCGGCTGCCCTATACGAACGGGGGCAAGCGGGCCCTGGCACAAGTTTGAGACAGTGTAGTGGGAGACCACGCTACTGAGACAGCTGGCCACCAAACCTGGGGGGGGGGGCTGTCCCCATCTTGGATGATTAATATAGGTATAGCACCGTATTATTGGAAGGTTTTATTGTGATTTTAAATGTTCTATTTATTATATATCGTATTGTATTTTGCACTCGCCTTTGCCGCATGTGAGCCGCCCTGAGCATTTGGGAGGGCGGGATATAAATCAAACTAATAAATAAATAAATAAATAAAAATAATGGGCACGGAGTGCCTTGAATGTGCTGGTAATTACTGCTGTGAATGAATATGTTGTTGCACCCACCGTGCTGTTTCAGAATTCCAAATGTGCCTGCAAGATCAAAAAGGTTGGCGACCCCTGCTTTACACACACCTGTTTTGTCCCCTTCCCCTCTGGTACAGACAGCAGAAGACAGAGCTTCCAGTAACAGAGAATGTCCAAACTATCCCACCTCCGTATGTGGTCCGGACCATCTTGGTGTTCAGCCGGCCAGCCTGCCAACCTCAGCTGGCTGTGACAGAGCAGATGAAGGTGTGTTCCTTGGCCTCCCCGTGGTATAAGCACTGTTCCCTCTAAGCTGAGTTAGTGTGAGCCAGCTCACAGTTTTTAAGCCTCCGGCTCACACATTTTTGTATCCGCTCAGGAAGGAGGGCTCCGGAGCAAACTAATTGATGCAGCAGCCCAATTGCTCGCTCACAACTTTAATGCCAGCAGCTCACAAAGTAGATTTTTTGCTCACAAGACCCCACAGCTTAAAGGGAACATAAGTCCTCCTGGCCAGATGTCTACTCCGGGAGGCACTACACCCACAAGCTTGTTGCTCTCAGTGGGCACGCGTGCCATCGCCCCAGCCAGGCCCAGACCATCCTTAAAGTGTCGAAGTCTCTGCCAAATAATTTTAAGCAAATGAAAGCATTGGGGATTGCTTTCCTTCCTTTGTTTGGATCATCTTAAGTTAATGTACGGGTTGTTTTTTCTAAAGTAAAACCTCAGGATTCAGGTTAAATCGCCATGTTGGCACTTTGCGATAAATAAGTGGGTTTTGGGTCACAGTTTGGGCACTCGGTCTCTAAAAGGTTCGCCATCACTGGTGTAGAGGGTAAATATTTTGACAGAAATCGGAATAAACTTCATAAATCTCTTAAAAAATTAAACCCAGGTCTGGTTGCTTGTGTACAACCACCCTGGGGACTGACGGGGGACGCCTTGACACTCTCCTCTCTTCCCACAGAAAATGCTGCAGTGTCCTTACTTCTTCTTTGACGTCCTTTATATCCACAACGGTGCAGAAGACAAAGAGGAAGAGAACAGCTGGAAGGTGAGGTCTTCCAGAGCCCAGCCGGATTGAAACCGAAGGTCTCTCCTCTAGTCCGGCATCTTGTTTTATTACAGTGGACAGGCAGCTGGGAGCAGGACGCTCAATCGACTGTTTATCTGACCCAGTGGGCCATTCTTATTTTCCTTATGTTCAAAGAAAAGCCCCCACCGTGCGGTTCAAAGTCTGTCTTCTTTCCATCGCGTCCCCCCCCCCCCCCCCCTTTTGTGTGGCGGGTTAGTGGGGCGAGTGCTGTTCGGGAAGCGGGTTTGATTCCCCGCTCCTCCACTTGCACCTGCTGGATGACCTTGGGCAAGCCATAGTTCTGGCACAGCTGTCCTTGAAAAAGGGCCGTTTCTGTCAGAGCTCTCTCAGCCCCACTGACCTCATAGGGTGTCTGTTGTGGGGAGGGGAAGGGAAAGGAGTTTGTCAGCTGCTCTGAGATTCCTTCCGGTAGGGAAGGGTGGGGGATAAATCCAATCTCCTCCTCCTCTTCTTCTTTTTTTTTTTTAAGAAGCAGCTTGGATTCTGGGGCTGTCCCAGCAATGCTTGTTGAAACCTTTAGGGGGCAGAGTGTCTGCTTTTTCTTAAGCTAAGAGTCTGGTGGAACATTTGTATTCCAGGATTTCGTTTTTCTCTGTTAGACTCCCGTTTGTTTTTGATGCGGCAAAACTAATATGGCAACTTTTCCGGAGTTTTTAAAAAGTTCTATCAAAAATACGCACATGCAAATAATCATGTGATAAACAGGCAGTGTTCCCTCTAAGCTGAGTTAGTGTGAGCTAGTTCGGTTTTTTAGCCTCCAGCTCACACATTTTTGTCTTACCTCAGGAAGGAGGGCTCCAGAGCAAACTACTTTATGCAGTAGCCAAATGGCTCGCTCACAACTTTAATGCCGGTAGCTCACAAGGTAGAATTTTTGCTCACAGGACTCCACAGCTTAGAGAGCGCATTGCTCACCAGGTGTCTGTTGTGGGGAGGGGAAGGGAAAGGCGTTTGTCAGCAGCTCTGAGACTCCTTTGGGGAGTGAAGGGCGGGGTATAAATCCAATCTCCTCTTCTTTTTTTACCTCACAGGGTGTCTGTTGTGGGGAGGGAAAGGGAAAGGCGTTTGTAAGCCGCTCTGAGACACCTTTGGGTAGTGAAGAGCGGGGTATAAATCCAATCTCCTCTTCTTCTTTTACCTCGCAGGGTGTCTGTTGTGGGGAGGGGAAGGGAAAGGAGTTTCTAAGCCGCTCTGAGACTCCTTTGGGGAGTGAAGGGCAGGGTATAAGTCCAATCTCCTCTTTCTTCAGGAGATGTGCACCTTCTTCAGTAACCTGGACACCAAAGGCACCAACTACAAGTACGAGGTGTCCCTGACGGGCCCAGCCGTGGAGCTGCACAACTGCATGGCCAAGCTGCTGGCCCACCCTCTCCAGCGCCCCTTCCAGACCCACGCCTCCTACAGCATGCTGGAGGAAGAGGAGACGGCCGAGATCGAGGCCATAGTCTGAGACGGACTGAGGGGACGGGCGGGGGCCTTTGTAAATGGGATAGTAGCGAAGCCTCCCTGTTTGCAAGCAGGCAGCTGGCACGGAACTGTGACCATTTGTGATATTGCTTGATTTTGATGGGAGGGGAGGGGTATCCCTCCCCACCCTGATTGGTTCGAGTTTTGTAATGCAGCCCGGAAGCTGTGTGGAGATCGGGGTGGGGGGCAGGGGGGAAGGTTCTAGAATGTTCTGGGGGGCAGAAGAGGGGGGCGGAGAGGGTTCTAGAATGAGAATCGTCCATTCTTGGTGAAGGAGCGGATTCTGAGGGTCAAGCGGCTAAGGGGGTTTTCTGAAGCTTAACTCATCTGTTGGTTCATCCAATGTAAATAAATGTTCCTACACACCTCATGGAGCAAGGCTGCAGTTTATGAAAAGCGTTCTATTCCTTTAGATGATTATACTCTGCTTTTCTCTCTCTGTGGGGACTCAAAGGAGCTCGTAACATCATTCTTCCCTCTCTTTTATCCTCTCAACATCAACCCCGTGATGTAGGTTAATCTAAGAGGGGGGGGGACTGGCCCAAGGTCACTCCTCAGGTTTCATGGGGGAATTTGAATATGGGTTTCTGCTTCTTCTAGTTCTGCTGCCGCTGCGTCATGGTAGGTTTGCAGCTTACAGATACACACCTGAACAGCATAAGATTGCAACAGCACAGACATTTTGATGCAATAATCCAGAGCAAGGGGTGTCAGTTATCAGACACTGTTAAATAAACAAAATATTGCAAGAGTGCTAATGTTTTAAGTGTGGTTTTAAGTTTTTAAAAAAAACCTTTGTGTTTGTATCCTTTATAAAGTCTGTATCTCCGCTTCCTGGCATTACATTCTATAGCACACGTGGCCCGGCCTAACAAGGTCTCATTTATGTCAGATCCGGCCCTCATAACAAATGAGTTTGACACCCCCACCTAACCATTATAGTAAAAATAATTATTGTAGCATAACGCTACAATAAAGTTTGTTAGTCTTAAAGGTGCTACTGGGCTTTTTACTATTTTGCAGCAACAGACTAACACGGCTAACCTCCTCTGGGTCTTCTAACCATTATGTCATGCTAGGGCAGGGATGTCAAACATGTACCCCAGAGGGCAGCTATCAGGCCCTCAGTGGAACCGGCTGTCTTCTGCTTCTTCTTCCAGTTCTGCTCCTGCATCATTGTAGGTTTGCAGCTTACAGATACACACCTGAACAGCATTCTCAGGATTACAACAGCACAGACATCTTGATGCAATCATTCAGAGCAAGAGGTGTCAGTTATCAGACTCTGTTAAATAAAATATTGCAAGAGTGCTAATGTTTTGAATATCTCCACTACCTGGCATTACGTTTTGTGACACACATGGCCTGGCCCAACAAGGTCTCATTTATGTCCGATCCGGCCCTCATAACAAATGAGTTCGACACCCCAGTGCTAGAGTATCCTTGTTTTCAGAGCTGAATATAATATTGCTGGGGTTTTTAGTCACGTGCTGAATTAATTGAATTCAACATCCGGTTGCTCTGAAAAGCCAGCTTTCATTAATGAATCATCTTGTTTTTCTTTTAGACACACAGGGTTTTCTTTAAACCAAGGGGGTTTTTTTGTATATATATTTTTATTTGAATTCTTTAAACAAAGTTTGAGTCCAGTGGCACCTTTAAAACCAACAAAGTTTTATTCACGATACAAGCTTTCAAGTTGTGAGGAAGTGCATATGCACATGGAAGCTTCTACCTTGAATAAAACTTGGTTGGTCTTAAAGGGGTCACTGAACTCAGTCTTCGTTCTTTTAAAAGCCGTCTAAGGTGGTGGTCGTAGTCTTGCGGCAAGGAGTTCAATAAATCGAATCTCGTGTTATGAAAATACTAGCATTGGATTGACAAACAAATTTCCTAGCGCTTGCCAATGAAGACAACAGGAGTGCGCTTTTTTAAATGTTAACATCCAATAGGGGAGATGAGCAAAAAAAGGGTTAAACTCTACATGTTCAGAACAAAGTTTGAGTCCAGTGGCACCTTTTAAGACCAACAAAGTTTTATTCAAGGCTAGGAAAAAGGCCCGTTGTGAAAATAAATACAACGAGCTCTAGAAAGAGGCTCTGGGCGGGTGCCCCGGCCTTGGACACTCAGTGTCAATTTGCTGTGGCGACCTCAGTAGGGTATAATGACACTGAGTCCACCATTTTCTCCAGAGGAACTGATCTCTGCTACCTAAAGAACAGTTGTAATTTTGAGTGATCTCCAGTCCTCACCTGGAGATTGGCAACGATGGTTACCCAGAAGGGAATGGTTGGTTTGGAGGGTGGAGTCTATGGCTTTGTACCTGTCTGAGGTCCCACGCCTCCTGAAACCTCACCCTCTCCAGGCTCCATCCCTCACATCTCCAGGAATTTCCCACCTGGAGTTGGCAACCCTATCTCCTTCCCAGCCAATCATCAACCTACCTTTATTTTCCCCTCACTCTTCAGCTTTCCACCCCCCACACACCTGCAGCCTCTCCCATGCTCTGAAGCCCTGACTGCTACGTCACATTGACTGTCATACGGGGGCCACCTCAGCAGCATATAAGGATACAGAGCCCACCATTTTCTCCAGGGGAACTGATCTCTGCCATCTGGAGAGCAGTTGTAATTCTGAGTGATCTCCAGCCCTCACCTGGAGATTGGACACATTTTACCAAAGAACAGCAAACTGTTTAGAATGTTAGAGGCAAAAGCTGATCAAGTCGCATATGCAAACGACCTCTGTGTTCCGAGGCAAAGGCCAATGAGGCTGCATATGCAAATAACCTCTGTGGTCTGACTGGCTATGGGGGGGGAGAGGAACAGCAAACTGTTTAGGGTGTTGGAGGCGAGACTCAAGCAATGCAGACAGCGGATAGGGACAGATTCTGAGTGACACACCAGGGCGCCAACCAATTCCAAAGCGTGTGGAATGTTCTAGAGAACTGCCACCACCATTCGGCTTTTATATATATACTAGGAGGAAGGCCCGTTGTGGCCCGAAATGCAACGAGATTCTAGCAGAGGGCCTGGCCTGGGTGAGCGTGGCGTTGTGGAAGAGGTGTGTTCCCGCCCTCCCAGAGCCCCAGCCAAGCTTGATGCAGCCCGCAGCCCCTGACCCACCTGGAGGCACGGAGGAGTGCGGGGCCGGGCGCCGGGGCGAGCGAACGCTTTCAGCCGGCAGAGCACGCGCTGCCTCCGCCGGCTCGCAGCTTACTGAGGCAGAAAGTCTGGGTGGCGGTTCTGTCGGAGGGTGGGCAGGACGTTGAGAACACATGGGCATGCAGTTACCAATGGATGGTGAGACCCTGCCAATGCAGCCACCAATGGATGGCGAGACCCTGTGATCGACAGGTCTGCTGGCCAAAGCCTCTGGGAGCGTGTTCCAGGACTCACACGAAATTAGCTTTATATATAAGAGAAGAAGAGATATATATCAGAGAAGGGAAACGTAAGCTTTCGTGTGCACGCACACTTCTTCAGGTAAAACTCTTGGTCTTAAAGGTGCCACTGGACTAGTCTCAAACTTTGTTCTGCTGCTTCATCAGAGCTACCCCACCTGGATCTAGTTTCTTAAAAAAAATTCCCTATAAAGGCATATAAAAGCGGGAATTAAGATTGCTGGGGAAAAGGTCAACAACCTCATATATGCAGACGATACCACTCTGATGGCAGAAAGTGAAGAGGACCTAAAGAGCCTCCTGCTTAGGGTAAAAGAGGAGAGCGCAAAAGTGGGCTTGACGCTCAACACCAAAAAAACTAAGATCATGGCATCCGGCCCCATCACTCCTTGGCAAATAGAAGGGGAAGTCGTGGAAGTAGTGACAGACTTCACGTTCCTGGGATCCCAGATCACCGCAGACTGTGACTGCAGCCATGAAATTAAAAGACGCCTGCTCCTTGGGAGGAAAGCGATGGCGAACCTAAACAGCGTGATAAAAAGTAGGGACATTACCCTGCCAACAAAAGTCCGCATGGTCAAAGCAATGGGATTCCCAGTAGTTATGTATGGCTGCGAGAGTTGGACTATAAGGAAGGCCGAGCGCCAAAGAATAGATGCTTTTGAATTGTGGTGCTGGAGAAGACTCTTGAGAGTCCCTTGGACTGCAAGGAGATCATAAGAACATAAGAGACGCCAATGTTGGATCAGGCCAAAGGCCCATCCAGTCCAACACTCTGTATCACAGTGGCCAGAAATACCAGTGCCATCAGGCGCCACCAGTGGGGCCAGGACATTAGAAGCCCACTGTTGAACCCCCCCTCCCAGCAGCAAGAAGACAGAGCATCACTTGCCCCAGAGCCCCTATCTATACCTTGTATTGTGAGGAAGGGAGAAAAGTACCTCTTTCTCTACCTGCTCTTTCCCATGCATAATCTTATAAACCTTGATCATGTCAATCAAATCAAATCAGTCAATCCTAAAAGAAATCAACCCTGACCAGGGCCGGATTTAGACTTGCTGAGGCCCTAAGCTATACAAAACCCAGAGGCCCCCTACTGTTTTAAATTACATCAGCTGGTCTCAGAAAAATTTAAAATATATACACCTTTTTAATATTTGAAAATATATTGTCTTTTAATTTTTATTAGAAAAATAATAAAGGATGTGTTTACAAAATCACATAAATAATTACATAATTAAAGGGTTTTAAAGTGACAAATAAGGCTCCAGCAGATTGCGAGGCCTTAAACTGTAGTTTATTTAGTTTATGCGTAAATCCGGCACTGACCCTGCCTGTTCCCTGGAAGGCCAGATAATGAAGCTGAAGCTCAAAGACTTTGGCCACCCAATGAGAAGGGAGCACTCCCTGGAGAAGACCCTGATGCTGGGAAAGATTGAAGGTCAAAGAAGAAGATGGGGACGGCAAAGGATGAGATGGTTAGACAGTGTCACAGATGCAACGAACATGAAGTTGAGCAAACTTCAGAGGACGGCGGAAGACCGGAAGGCCTGGCGTGATCTGGTCCATGGGGTCGCAAAGAGTCGAACTCGACTGTGCGACTGGACAACAACATAAAGGCATAGAGGGCAGGTCCTGAATTGGAAAACTCTGAGTAATAAAAACTATGATCTAATAAAAGTCAAATCCAGGTGGTAGCCGTGTTGGTCTGAAGCAGTAGAACAGATTTAAGAGTCCAGTGGCACCTTTAAGGCCAACCTTAATAAAAGTATTTTAAAACCAACAAAAAGAAACGTCAATGCTTAAAAGCCAAGCGCTTCAAAAATAACCCGCAGGGCCGGTGCGCGGACAAAAGCTCTTTCCTCCTTGCCGCACCCAAGCGCTCGGCACCAACTGTCAATCAACACGGTGAACCAATCAACGGAGTAGGCTGAAGAAGGGGGCGGGAATGCTGCGTCCCTTAGCCAATCCCTGCACTAAAGCATCACGGTTGACAAGCCCCGGGCGAGGACAGGGCGGGAACCTTCAAACCTTGCAAACAAGATGGCGCCGCCGTAGCGGCGGGACCGCAGAGCCGGGCTGGGCGGACCTTCTTGCGCCTTCGCGTTGAGACGGGAACGGCGCTCGGCCGCACGGATGCGGCTTCGCGAGGCGAAGGGCCGGCTCTCTTGTTGCCCGGGGATGCCCGGGGCCGAGTCTGTCCTTGTCGCAGGTGGCTGCGAGGGGAGTGCGCATGCGCGGCCGGACTGAGCGCGCGCAGATGCCTCGTCCTTCTCTCTCTCTGCTCACGATCGCCCTCTAATGGGAAAATGAGGCCAAGCACTTCACAGCTCTCCGCCAGCCTGTGCGAAGCGCTGCGGGGCGAGGAAACCGAGTGAGTGTACATGTGGGGATGCGTCTCCACGTATCTGGGGGGATGTGGGGGTGTTTGTGTGTAGGAAGAAATATTTCCTTGCAAAGGTTTTTTTTTTTGCACGGTAACGCACCCCCACCACCACCACCTAAGGCAGATAAAGCGTCACCTAAACCACCACCAAAGGTAAAAAGAAAAGTCTGTAGAGATGTCTTTCCCCCCTTTTTGAAAGCCAGTTTGTTGTAGGGGTTAGGAGCGCAGACTCTAATCTGGGAGGACCGGGTTTGATTCCCCGCT